CCCATTGGTTGCATAGATAGAAGGGGGTTTGGGGGTTTATATAGGAATAGGAAGCAACAGCAAAAACCCTAAAGAAAAAGACCAAACAGCCCAAGAATCAGAAATCTGATTCTGCACCAAAAGAGCCATTGGGATAAACGGCGGTCGACCGCGAGCAACAAAAACAACAGGAAAACTCTAGAGAGTTCGACGGTCGATCGTGAGAAATTCAGTTTGACGGTCGACCGTGGCAGTCGACCGTGAGAGTTTCTGTTGCCCACTATGGAAAAGACTCAGGCGCGGTCGATCGTGGCGGTCGACCGTGAACTGATATATGAAATATTATAGTTTTGAACAGTTTTTTGATTTTAAAACACTTTTTAAAAATATTAAATATATTCCAAAAAATATAAAACTTTGGAGAATAATTATAGACATGATAATAAACATGCTACAATAACTGGTTTCCAAATAGGGCTTTTCAAATAAAAAATATCATTATTTTACAAAATAGGCCAAAACATGAAAATGTAAACATGTGAATTTTGACATTTTGGCTAAACCATGTTTTAAAACTTTGCATAATGATTATGTAGACTTAATAAAATATGTATATGATTATTGTTAAGTCCAACAATTAAGAATACAATATTTTTACAAATACAATAGAAAATAAAACATATGAGTATGTATATGAAAATATATTTGTTTCATATCTAAGTAGTTAAACCAAATCACAATAATAAATATGAAATATGTAATTTCATATTTATAGACATAAAAATCAAAACTTGTGTTGTATATATATATGACTACATATATATACAAGGAAACCAATAAAATGTGTGTGTGTATATTATATTGAGCTTAATGTATTAACACACATAATATAAACTCCTAAACTAAATTACCAAAGCTTTTTGAAGGTCTTCAATGAGCTCAACTTGGTACACTAACGGATGAAGCTTGAACTTGGATCTTCAACTTGAATTATACATAGCTTCACCTACTATTCCACCAACCTCCATTGGATATGATCATTGAAGCTCTATTTCATCCACCCTCCAACATATTGTTTGCCTAGAATAAATATAAAACACAAACACTAGACAAACAATATTAGATATAAATTATTTGTAAATCATCATCAAAATAAGAAGGTCAACACTTCAAAGTCCACTTAGAGCCATTCATCTGAATCTGCACTTCACCCTTTCCAACAATATTACAGGGCTCATTATTTCCTAGATATACTTTTCCAAAGTCCCTTGCTACATAATTCTGAAATAGCTTCCTGTTAGCAGTGACGTGGAAAGAGGCTCCTGAATCGATGACCCAAGAATCTGAATCGCTGTCCATTGCAAGAATCAAGGCATCCTGCACGATATGAGCATCCTGCTCACCCGCATTCTTCTTTGGACTTTTACAGACTGAAGACATATGGCCCTCCTGGCCGCAATTCCAACATCTTCCTTTGATAGGTCTAACCTTCGAGTTCGACCTCTTCTTTACTGGTTTTGACCGATTCCTGTTCTGGTTTTCTTTCTTCTGGCTTCTGCCTCTCTGCTCAAAACTTAGAGCTGAACCTGAACCTTCTGATTCGGACGATTTTCTTCTAACCTCCTCGGATAGAATCATGCTAACCACCTCACTCAGCTTTAACTTCTCCTTCCCCACCGAATTGCTGATTGTCGTCACACAACCTGCCCAACTATCCGGCAACTGTGATAGTAACAATAGGGCCTGCACTTTGTCATCAAACGTGATGTCCACGGAGATAAGCTGATTAGCAATCATGTTGAACTCACTGAGATGCATCGTGAAGGACCGTGCTTCTGCCATCTTGAGATTGAAAAGAGTTTTGACTAGATGCACCTTATTTGCTACCGACGGTTGCTCGTACATCTTCGTGAGCGCATCCATAAGCCCCACCGTCGTCTTCTCCTTCAGAATATTATGGGCTACTGATTTGGCAAGCGACAACCGGATTTACCCTAGAACCTTCCTATCCAGTATCTCCCAATCACCATCTGACTCCTCCTTCTTCTTTCCCTTTTCCTTGCCCATCAACGGGTGATACAAGTCCTTTTGGTACAGATAGTCCTCCATCTGTGACTTTCAACAGGCGAAGTCTGAACCGTCAAACTTCTCGATCTTTGATTTGTTTTCCTTTGCCATGGCTTTCACACAAATTGCTGAACGAAGCTCTGATACCAGTTGTTAGGGATTCAAAATAATCAATCGAACCCTTACCCTTCTAGACCTTGTGTTGAAAGTAGGAAAGTAGGAATAATACCACAAATAAAGATCTAACCTTGCAAAAAATAGTAAAGGAGACGAACACACAGATTTAACGAGGTTCGGTAACGTGTCTACGTCCTCAGGAGCCACACCACACAATCTCTTTATTAATTGAAGAAGAATTACAAGCTCTCAAACTAGGGTTTAATCTCTCTGAGATTCTCTCTCTTTCTGCAGTTAAAAATCTCTCTTTTTCGTGTTGTTACAATCTTAAAAGCGTTTAAGGTATATATAGAGTTCCGGGGAAAAAAGAATCCAAAACAGTTTGGGAAACCGTTTGACTGCGTCGCGATCGACCGCGATAGTCGACCGCACAGGTCTCGCGGTCGACCGCGACGGTCGACCGAACCCCAAAACCCGAGAGAAAATAGATTACAGTCAATCGCGGTCGACCGCGGCGGTCGACCGCCACCAGCTCCGATTCCTACTACCCGTCGCGGTCGACCGTCGCGGTCGACCGCCTTCAACTTCAGCTACTCCCAACTCTTGTGCACGTTCGCGGTCGACCGTGGATCTGTCTGCTTGTTTTCTCGTCGTTTTGATTCCAGCTCTTGTCTCGACTTTGGGTCTACACCTTAGACTAACACCACGGTTGGTGTGGTGATACGTGAGCATGAGGGGGAAATTCTGACAGCACGTATAGTGTAGTGATGTGAATGTCCCAACTCCCATGATAGCGGAGTTGATGGCTTTGGGTGAGAGCGTGAAGTTATCAAGTGAATTACAATATCAGCGAGTGATTGTTAAGTCTTACTTGTCTCGAGTGATTGTTAAGTCTTACTTCGGGTGATTAAAATTCTTCAAAGCAAAGGCTACATCGTTTCACCGCCTTGCCTCAAAGGGTTGTAGATGTAGTTGAGATGATTGTGGTTTTCGATGAATGTCGTTTCCCTTGTATAGCTATAACTGGAAGTAAAGTTGTTGATCATCATGCACAATGGGCTAGGCATAATTTAGTTTTGAACTATCATACCTGACTAGATATAGAGTGGTGTTAGGGGCACACCCCAAGTCACACCTCCAACCACACCTCCCCCTCTCATTCGCTACAGTACTCCAGGCCCCACATGAGTTTTTAAATTTTAAAAACTCATGTGGGGCCCGGAGTACTGTAGCGAATGAGAGGGGGAGGTGTGGTTGGAGGTGTGACTTGGGGTGTGCCCCTAACATTTCTACTAGATATAATGCCATATTTTTTGGCAGATGATGTTTTGTTCTATTTATAGATTAATAACTGTTTTCCATTAAAAAAAAATCAAAGTCAAAGTTGACTTAACAAGTGCCGAAGGTACAATTGTGTAAGCTTGAAGATTAGGACCTGACCCACAAACTGCAAGAGATATGTAGAGAAATCTTTAGGTGCTGGTGGTGGAGCACCTACATGCATCCTCCCCTCCAATAGGAGGGGGGCATGTAGGTGAGCATGCATCACCTAAGAATTTTCGCTTCAATTGGGCAAATGGTAGATACACAATATCCAAAGTCAGCTACTTTGACTGCACATTAAGATATCAAGCACGCAAGCTCATCCGTCTAAAATTAAACGCGCTTGATTAAAGCTGACGTAAAGCAGGACCAAGGACCTCATACAACCTCATTTTCTTAACAATCATGTATTTTCAGATAGGCAACCTTTAACAAACATGTTGGATCTACAAATAAAGGAAGCCCAGCCCAAAACACGGAACAATTGTTAACTCACTTTTCCAAGGCCCAACGGCCCAAAGGCCCAAAGACATCCACTCAAATTGCGGACTTAATAGCCCCCCGAGCACCACTCCGCACGAGATGCACACTAATACGATGACCAAGAAAAAGGAGTTACATTCCCTAAGGTAGGAGAAAGGTATCACAATATTTTAACTCTTCTTCTGCGTATAAATCTGCAGTCATTATAAAATTATTTCTTTCTTCTGTAATCCTCTGACCTGAACACGGGCTTTGGCCGGAATCCACTGCTTCAATCCTCTGGTATGTTTGCCCCGCGCTAACTCCTCTTCGAACCTCTCTCGTTCCTTACCTTAATAAAAACCCGCATAACCTAGTAATCGTCTTCCTCGTCCAGACTGTCTAGGTTCTGCTGTTTAGATCTTGCCATGTCAAATCCCCTAAAAATACTCACCATTACTTGTTACCGAACAAATTTTCATTTCTTTTTTATCCTCTCCCTCTTCACACATTTGTTTGGTCGTTGTGCCACAAATAAATAAAAAAAGGCAATAAATATTAACAGTTTTAAAAAGTTACTGACCATATAGATGAATATTCTACACCCATAAACAATGAGCAATATTAACATATGAAAAACCCTTAAAGTGGCCGGTATTACCTCAGAAATATCATTTCGTATTGGTATACCAATAAACTATATGTTTCATGCGTTATTCTTGTTTCCACAATGGTTCTCTGTCACAAAAACAAAAAAGAACAAATCATAGAAAGTACAAATAACTTTGGTGTATGGTTCGCTAATATATCCAACAGTAAACAAGAAATACGCCATGCATTTGAGATCTGATCTTCGTGAAGCTAACTATGAGACAATGCATCGCGTGTAAATTCATTACTTGTGATTTATTGAGATTCTATATGATCTCAAGGACTAGTGAATGAGATAACTCAAAAATCAAAGTACACCATTGAGCCATATAGACGTCTATGGTTGACAAGCATTATCATACAATTTCCACTGAAGATAGCAGCAGCAATCAGACATACAATTAGAACTCTGACAGAACAAATAACATTGAATTGTACTTGAATGTTGCGCCAAGATCTGGCATTAGCGTACAGCTCAATAGATACACTAATATCGACAACACAAAAATCTGCACAAATGACATCTTCTTTCGGCCACATACCACGGAAAAGTTAACAACAAAATGAACAAGACCTATTTACTTTTTTCTTTTACATCTTGTAAGATCATCTGTTTCTAGAAGCTGGTCCAAATCTCGAACTCATGAACCACGACCCCGATTACAGCCTAAATTCCACTACCAGTGCATCAATCTGATAATAGCTCAGTCACTTTCCACTATACCCAATTTTGAGTCTGTTATTGTACAAAGTAAGATATCTTTTCCCTCATCAGGGTCTAATGCTAGCTGCCACTTTTACCTTTTAGATTCTTTTACGTATCGGCTCCAAGCTACCAATGCTGCACCAACAGCAGGTTCCACCTGTAACTCAGTAAAAGGGAAACAATTAAACGATCATTAACAGAAAACTTAAAAATATTACCAAAAAAAGGGAGGGGAAAAGGGTGTGTTAGAATAGCAACTAAATTATCCTACTGGCCTCGTTACTCACTCATAATTCATCATGCTCAAATTCTAAAGTGTCCGTTACATTCAAAGCCTTCTCAAATGCTTACAGATTTACTATAGTTGCGTTTAATGAAAATTGACAAAAATGATAAAAGTGCAGATATATAGAACCTGACTTCTAACAATGACAGCTCCATCTGTTATACTGTAGTTCACTTATCAATGAGTCACATGAATGGGAATTTCAACTAAATATATTTAAAGCAGAGTTTATTAAGCTCATGGCTGAAAATTTTTCATGGTTATGACTCATACTAGTGAAATTTACCCACCTGAGGTCGAATAGGATGAACACCTGGATAGACCTTGGAAACAAGGTTTATGACTTTCTTTCCTATGTCCCAGCTCTCACTAAGAACGCCTCCGACCATAACAAGCGGGAACGAATTCTTTCCATCTGAAACTCGGAAATATTTCTGTGTTTATATGAGCTTACCTAGTTTGATTACAAAACCAGATTGACAAATATTTGTGCGAGAATCTACAAGAACTAATATCTTAGTTCTCGAACAGTAAACAATGAGTACTTTTTTGAATAAAAATACCCTACCCCCTGATTTCCAAAATTTTGGAAATCGGGGGGTAGGGTATTTTTTGGAAATCGTGGGGTAGGTAGAAGTCCCTCGTGTATTAGCCAATATCTTGTTCCTCAATTAAAAAAAATTCATCTAGTTCGTTTATGTTTGAAAGTCATCTGTGACCGTGACAGCCCCTGTTGTTATCCGGTCATCATCCTGTGCCTTTTTACAAACTTTCGTTAAATTTTGCTGATGTGACAGTAACCTGGAAGGTATCAAGTCAACAAACAATTAGTGAAATTACAAGTTAGTCTGCCACATCAGCAAGATTCAACAGTAAGTTTGCAAAAAGGATCTGGGCCGATGATGGAGGTAGCATTAGGGACCAAACTGATGGCTTCCAAATATAAATGAGTCAAATAATACTTGAGTAATACATGAGGGATCTTCACTGAAGTGTTGACCTTTGAATAATCATAGTTTGGTGGCAGTTTACCTTTACCACACAATTCAAGTCTCTGGACAACAGCTTTAACACTATCAGCTAACTCCTGGACAGAATTATGCAGTATCTTGTTGGCAACTTCGTCGCCGCCTTTAGCAGAAGTGACAACAACAGGGACAAGCGCAGCTATACGAGCCCAGGAGGAGTCTGCGTAAGTCCACCTACGCAATACAAGAGGAAAATATGCTTAAGAAAATTCTTTTGACTCAAACATACAAAGCATTTGTAGCCTTGTAGAATCTCAAGCAGTCAAAAGGCATGTTATTCTGCCGTGTATTATTCCTTATAAGAAAAAGTAACATTACTATGTTTCAATCAACAGAAAACTGTGTCAAGAAGGGACAAGACATCCATTTAGCATTGATCATCATTATAAATTATCACATGCAGCAATGTTTTATAAACCTAGCACCTAGGCACTCGCCTAGGCTTAGGCGGTGCCTAGGCGGGGCGCCTAGGTCCTTGGAGCACTTAGGGAGCGTAGTCCGCTTACGGGGATTGCACCGCTTATGTTTTGGTTGATATTCCTCCACTTTGGCCTCGATGTCCTCCAACCTCCTTCGAACTCCTCCAGCCTCCTCCACTAACTATGCACATTTCCTCCACCTCCTCCGATTTCGAGAAAACCTCCTCCACCACCACTTCAACAAATAAAGAAATCTGCTAAGGTACCTAGGGGCTAGGCGCTAGTCTAGCGCCTAGCAGTGTCTAGCGATTTCTATAGCATTGACAGTTATTATTAATTATTGTAACTAAAAAAAGAAAAATCACCAAGGCACCTGTCTAGCCAATGCCTAGGCCGCCTAGCGCTTTCTATAACCTAGATACATGGTTTTGTCAAAAACTCGGCTAAAAGGTAAGAAAAAGGTCCGAAATGAGAAAAATTATTTTCTATATTATTGACTGATGTCATCCTTACCCTCAAATGAAACAGATCATTATCCTAATTCTATACAATATGTAGATGATTTCATTGTAATACCACATAATATAAAGTCAACAAAGTGAAAACTAATTGTCCGAGGAGTAATGGAGACAGACTATGTATAGCAGAAGAGTATGAATAAATTAATTCTATATCTTTGTTATCCTTATCATTATCCAATTTTTATTAACTTTTAAATCAAAGAAACCAGTGGACTAAAAAGGGATTAGTCCGTCAGCAAAAGGACTTGCATTTCATATTTCATTGTAACACTACATCATATTATATATTTATATATAGAGTCAACGAAGTCCGAATTTAAATTTCTCCAGAGCTATGTTGCATGGACAAGGGTGCAGATACGGGTACAAGACACATGAAGTTTGGAAAATGTCAGGCAGGGGGACACCGCTGTATGCATATGTTGAAATTAATAATTCATATTAGGTCAATAATATTTTTCTTCATTTCATATTATAAAAAAATTGACATTTTTATATTCCTTTTATTATGTAGATTATAAATTGGGAAACTCTTCATTTTTTAACTAATACCCAAACGACCTTTAAAATCACTAGTATAATGCACGTGCTTTGCACGTGAACGTACATGTTTTAAGTTTTGAATTTTTTATTGAATAGTAAAACTATGAGTTAATAAATAAAATTGTATAATAAGATTACTAAGCTGCATTAACCTTGCTAGTTTTTTCTTCATGTTACCTAAATAGCTACAATTGATACCTGCAACATATTGTAATAGTTACATCTCATTATAATTATTTAATAGGGTAAATTATACTAAAACTTTATGAATTTTCAGCCCATATGAACTTTCAAAATTACACTAAACCCCTGATGGCTTTTTTGTTTCAAAAAAGACCCCCAATAATTTTTTAAATTTTGCAAACAACCCCTATAAATTAGAATTAGAAAATAACATAAAAAGGTGTTTTGAGAGTTGTTGGGGGTTTGGTGTAATTTATCTAAAACATATTGGGGGCTTTCTACAAAAGTTATTAGGGAGTGATTTCAGAAGTTCATAGGGTCTATTTACTGTAAAATGCTGGAAGTTCATGATACAATAATTTATCTTATTTAATATTATAATTAGTTCAAGTAATATTATAAAAATAATTATTGTCTATATACTATAAAATATTTGTCAAATTTAATTGTTTAATTATACTCTTAAATAACTTAGTACAATAAATATTTAAAAAGTTTTATTTTACTATCATTAATAATTAATAGTACTACTGGTAATATTCAATAAAGTTTTTGTAAAAAGGTTAGTCTTCAATCATTACCAAATATAGACTATTCAGCATCATGTAATAATATTTGAGAAAATACTCTTAAAAATATATTAATTATTTAATTTAATTTATTTGATTTAAATTATTTATTTAATAATATAATACTAAATAAATAGTGTACTTCATAATTTATGTGATATTATTAAAATAATTACACTATATATGCGATTTAAAATTTATTCTATTTATTTTATTGTTCATTGAATTATAGTATAATTCTTAAAGTATTTAGTAATATATTATTCTATTTATACTATTATTTTAATTATTATATTATGATTCATAAATAATTATTATAATAATTTAATTGGTTGCTACTAATAATTGTGTATATTTTATTTTTACAAATTATTTTATTTAACCAATTAATAGTTATAATATGATTGATAATTAAAATTATTTAGGAAGGTGAGAAGATGCATAATTAATAAGAGGTTATATTTATTTAATGAAAGATTAATTAGAGATAATGGCATAGTTAGAATTTATCAAAATTTGAGAGGACAAAAAAGAAAATTAAAAGTTTTAGCACCCCAATCCTCTTTTTATATTAGTATAGATAAGTTTGGACTGAGTACGGACTGAAACAAACATGACCTAAGTCCAATGGGTTTCAAGAAGTTATGTGAACTGTAGGATAAACATCCAAGAAGTGTATAATGAGTGTTTTAAATTTAAACACGTATTACATAACCAAGGACACGTCTGAATAAATGCATGCCTATATTCAAGGAGGTGTCCAAGGGGTGTCCGTCTAGTATGAGTATGACATACATGGTAGAAGTGTCCAAGGAGTGTTGATGATCGGTACGTGTCCGGTATGGGTACAACTTCATGATAGAAGTACCCAGGTAACACAGCTCTAGAGTAAAAGCACTGTTGCACACTGTTATAGCAGACAGGCCAAGCAAAGCGGGAAATCATTCGCCTAGATCCAGTCTGTTCTATCAAATATTTGAGGTGGCACAAGTCGTTAATTTTCCAATATTCTGTGATAATTACAATTTTCCTCTTTTCTTTTCTTGGTCAAAACTGCAGTTGTAACTATCGAAAGCCATAAATCCCTTATTGATAACCAGTTAGATCTCTTACCTAATGCATGGATTTCACTAAGTTTTAAATATTATTTTCAAGTGCATTCTGGAGGGGAAGACTAATGGCTATAGAAAGAAAGATCATGATTTCTGCTCAACTTGCAATATAAAAAGTGAATTAAGCAAACAGCCATGTAACTGGCAATAGAATTGTGAGCATAGTGTATATTCTTTATATATATTTTCAAATCATGAGAAAGTTGTTACAGAAATTATTCCATGTCCCACTAATATATGTCAAGAATCGCCATCAATGAAGAATATACAAGTAAAAATAATGAGATACCCGATTAGTTCATCTGGCGAAGAAAGCCCAAGCATATTGAGAATGTTCTTCGTCAGACTTGTTTGTGGCCCACGTCCATCATGAGCCCTGATTACTGCTGTCAATGCCTGTGCAGCAATCCCATATCCACTGCACAAGGTACACATCTATGTTTTCTTCAGTATAGGAGATACAAGACAGAAATATAAGTCCCAAGAAAACATCTGATGTGAAACATGCATATACATGTTCCTACATCATTGATGATGATGATAATCTCATAACATAGACGGATAAAATATAACAAAAAAGTCTAAAATGTAAATAAGTTTAACTCATCAAAATCTATTTAAAAAAAATCTTTCCCTTTGACTAGGTAGCTTTCTGTTATCTCCTTCTCTCTTTCCTGTTATTTTTTGTTGCTTATCACTTTCCATCACTGTGATTACTGTCCAGCTCTTCAGGTTTATGATCATGATGAATGTCATTGCAGAAGAGACCAACCTAAACACAATCCCACTGCATATGTCTGCCTGAGGGCTTAATTTGCAATTTACAGGGAAAATGGAGTTGGAAAACATATAGAAAACATATATGCACCTAAGTTCTTCCATTGGACAGTATATTTAAGGATGAATTAGTGTCATTGTCACACTAATAGTTCTTGCAGCTTACTACTCAATTTTCTTCTGAAAATTTTGCCAACGTTCAGATGCGTAAAGCATGCCTGACCATACAGACTATCTTATAATATTTCCCATTGTCATGTGGAGCCCTATAAGCATTCTTCTACATTTTTTCTTCAATTTTATAAGTATGATCCAACTCAGTCTTACCACCTTGATGAATGAATTATCCTAACTAATGAAGAAGACCACTGGTAGTTCTTGTTCATAATGAAACTGCACTCTTGCTTCTTCTCACACTACTTCATTCTCATCCTGCAAAGCTTGAACATGATTTGTTCTTCAACCGAAAAAATCAAAGCAGAATGCTAAAGCACGGAAGAGTCTTTTAGAGCACTAAATAAATTGTAGTTGTCGTAATTATAATGTGGAGCCTGGCTGTGAGATGAGTTGTCCAAGATGCACCTAGTGTTCATACATTTTACTATCTCAATCCAATTTTTATTGCAATTCACAAAAAAAAAAGGGATAAGTGGCTGACGCTTATTCAGTCCAATAGTAGCAAAATCAAACTAGAGTAGCAAAATCAAACTAGTAATGAAGACATGAAGGTCCTGGGCATGATTTTTGCATTAATAAAAAAAATAAGAGTTCTCTGTTAAAATGAAATGTCATCAAGGTTATCAATAGTAGATAGTGTCGCGTAGCGGTGAGGCATCGCTAAGGCTATTGGAGCTATTGCGGAAAAATAACGGCAAAAAGTGTAAGGTGAAAAAGCAGTCTAATTTAAATATGTACAAATACTAAAAAAATAAAAATTAAAGAAAGAAATTAGAAAATCTAAAAGACGCATAGTTGATGATTTAAAGAGATTATGAGCATGGAATAGACATATAACTATTACATAATATCGAAGAGGACTAGAGGAGGAGTTGAAGCGTCGTCTTCTTCGAGAAGATGATGTGAGCGGTGAGAGGACTGCAATAGGAGGAGCTCACAACGAAAGGAGGTGAGAGAAGGTGTTGCGGCGGTGAGAGGATGTGCTGAGGGAGGTGCCGGAGGCTATGAGAGGTGGCAGAGAGATGCCAAAAGTCATGGGAGGTCGCAGGATGCGGTGGAAGGCAGCGATCTTTTTGAGGGCTAAGGTTTCTTTTAGAGTTGGATCGCGAGAGGGAGACTCAAGAGAGAAAAAAGACCACAATTGGTAATGACTTAAAACAACTTTTAAATAGGAAGGTAGGGTTTAATTAAAAAAATAAACTTGAAACCTCTTTTAAATAGCAATCAAAAAGCGGATTTTACCCGCAATATCCTGCTATTCACCGCTATGGCACGCTATTGGCCGTATTTTTAAGCGGAAAGTGCATGTTCCGCAATATGTCATCGCTATTGGGCGATATCATTGCTGAAGAGGCCGCTAACGCTATTAGCATCGCTATTGCAGCACTATTTACCACTATTTATAACAGTGAATGTCATAAACAATTATAGCAAAAGATTACTATATGGTCTTATTATTTGGTTCTTACAAAAGTTGTGTGCCTAACTTCCTTGATGAAAGTAGTTTCATCAACTAGTAGCAAACTTAAATGGACAACGCACTGATCAAGTATAAGTCTGAAGGGGTGAGAGGCAAGAATAAAGTCAAGAGACACCAAATGAATATAACCACCTAAGTTGGGCCTTTTTCTCCGACAAGATATATAATCACGTATTTAAGCTATCCAAGATTAACTTTGTGTTAAATATGTTTTACTAATAATATTAGTAGGCTTTCTTCTTTCTGATAGGGCATGTGAATTAGATCATCTATACACATTCTAGCATATATAATTGTTAAAATCAACTTACATACTGTCAGGAAAGTCCCTACCAATAGTAATTTTATCACCAGCAGCTTACTTCTGATAGAGCATATGAATTATATCATCTATGCATGTTCTAGCAAATATGCACGCTGAAATCAACTTAAAATATACCGTCACGAAA